TAAGTAGTGGTAGTCGAAGTAGCTGTAGTACTAGGATCAGCAGAATAAACAGAAATAATATTGTAAGTGACAACAATAACAACAGTATTAGCAACAGTAGTAGTAGTGGTAGTAGTAGTAGTAGCAGCAGCAGCAGCAGCAACAACAGTAGAAGTAGTAGCAGTAATGGTAGCAGCAATACTAGTAGCATAAGCAGTAGCAACAACGCTAATAGTAGTAGCAGGAACACTGGTAGTATCAGTAGTAGTAGCAGCAACACTTGTAGCATCAGTAGTACTAGCAGCAACACTAGTAGCATCAGCAGTACTAGCAGCAACACTAGTAGCATCAGTAGTAGTAGCAGCAACACTAGTAGCATCAGTAGTACTAGCAACAACACTAGTAGCATCAGTAGTACTAGCAGCAACACTAGTAGCATCAGCAGTACTAGCAGCAACACTAGTAGCATCAGTAGTAGTAGCAGCAACACTAGTAGCATCAGCAGTACTAGCAGCAACACTAGTAGCATCAGTAGTAGTAGCAGCAACACTAGTAGCATCAGTAGTACTAGCAGCAACACTAGTAGCATCAGCAGTACTAGCAGCAACACTAGTAGCATCAGTAGTAGTAGCAGCAACACTAGTAGCATCAGTAGTACTAGCAACAACACTAGTAGCATCAGTGGTACTAGCAGCAACACTAGTAGCATCAGTAGTACTAGCAACACTAGTAGCATCAGTAGTACTAGCAGCAACACTAGTAGCATCAGTAGTACTAGCAGCAACAGTAGTACTAGCAGCAACACTAGTAGCATCAGCAGTACTAGCAGCAACACTAGTAGCATCAGTAGAACTAGCAACACTAGTAGCATCAGTACTAGCAGCAACACTAGTAGCATCAGTAATACTAGCAGCAACTAGTAGCATCAGTAGTACTAGCAACACTAGTAGCATCAGTACTAGCAGCAACACTAGTAGCATGAGTACTAGCAGAAACACTAGAAGCATCAGTAGTACTATCAGCAACACTAGTAGCATCAGTACTAGCAGCAACACTAGTAGCATCAGTAGTACTAGCAGCAACACTAGAAACATCAGTAGTAGTAGCAGCACTAGTAGCATCAGTAATACTAGCAGCAACACTAGTAGCATCAGTAGTACTAACAGCAACACTAGTAGCATCAGTAGTACTAGCAACACTAGTTGCATCAGTAGTACTAGCAGCAACACTAGTAGCATCAGTAGTACTAGCAGCAACACTAGTAGCATCAGTAGTACTAGCAGCACTAGTAGCATCAGTAATACTAGCAGCATCAGTAGAACTAGCAGCAACACTAGTAGCATCAGTACTAGCAGCAACACTAGTAGCATCAGTAGTACTAGCTGCAACACTAGTAGCATCAGTAGTACTAGCAGCAACACTAGTAGCATCAGTACTAGCAGCAACACTAGTAGCATCAGTAATACTAGCAGCAACAGTAGTACTAGCAGCAACACTAGTAGCATCAGTATTAGCAGCAACACTAGTAGCATCAGTAGTACTAGCAGCAACACTAGTAGCATCAGTAGTACTAGCAGCAACTAGTAGCATCAGTAGTACTATCAGCAACACTAGTAGCATCAGTACTAGCAGCAACACTAGCATCAGTACTAGCAGCAACACTAGAAGCATCAGTAGTACTAGCAGCAACACTAGTAGCATCAGTAATACTAGCAACACTAGTAGCATCAGTAGTACTAGCAGCAACACTATTAGCATCAGTAATACCAGCAACACTAGTAGCATCAGTAATACTAGCAGCAACACTAGTGACATCAGTAATACTAGCAGCAGCACTAGTAGCATCAGTAATACTAGCAACACTAGTAGCATCAGTAGTACTAGCAGCAACACTAGAAGCATCAGTAGTAGTAGCAACACTAGTAGCATCAGTAATACTAGCAGCAACACTAGTAGCATCAGTAGTACTAGCAACACTAGTTGCATCAGTAGTACTAGCAGCAACACTAGTAGCATCAGTAGTACTAGCAGCAACACTAGTAGCATCAGCAGTACTAGCAACACTAGTAGCATCAGTAATACTAGCAGCAACACTAGCAGCATCAGTAGAACTAGCAGCAACACTAGTAGCATCAGTACTAGCAGCAACACTAGTAGCATCAGTAGTACTAGCAGCAACACTACGAGCATCAGCAGTAGTAACACTAGTAGCATCAGTAATACTAGCAGCAGCACTAGTAGCATCAGTAGTACTAGCAGCAACACTAGTAGCATCAGTGCTAGCAGCAACACTAGTATCATCAGTACTAGCAGCAACGCTAGTAGCATCAGTACTAGCATCAACACTGGTAGCATCAGTAGTACTAGCAGCAACACTAGTAGCATCAGTAGTACTAGCAGCAACACTAGTAGCATCAGTAATACTAGCAGCAGCACTAGTAGCATCAGTAGTACTAGCAGCAACACTAGTAGCATCAGTGCTAGCAGCAACACTAGTAGCATCAGTGCTAGCAGCAACACTAGTAGCATCAGTACTAGCAGCAACGCTAGTAGCATCAGTACTAGCATCAACACTGGTAGCATCAGTAGTACTAGCAGCAACACTAGTAGCATCAGTAGTACTAGCAGCAACACTAGTGGCATCAGTAGTACTAGCAGCAACACTAGTAGCATCAGTAGTACTAGCAGCAACTATAGTAACTTCAGTACTAGTAACAGCCATAGTATCAGTAGTAGTAACAGCAGCCATTGTAGCATCAGTAGTAGCAGTATCATCAGTAGTAGCAGTATCATCAGTAGAAGCAGTATCATCAGTAGTAGCAGTATCATCAGTAGTAGCAGTATCATCAGTAGTAGCAGTATCATCAGTAGTAGCAGTATCATCAGTAGTAGCAGTATCATCAGTAGAAGCAGTATCATCAGTAGTAGCAGTATCATCAGTAGAAGCAGTATCATCAGTAGTAGCAGTATCATCAGTAGAAGTAGAAGCAGTAGAAATTTTAAGACTGATATCAATAGCTGCTGATAGCAGCATTAGCAGTAGCAGCAGTAGTAACAGCAATAGCAGTAGCAGAAATAGCGGCAGTGGGTACATGGCTGGTATCAACAGTAATAGGAGCAGCATCAACGCCCACACCACTAGCAGGTAAAAAGCTAATCTCGCTTCTTTGAGCGGAGAACTTGAAACCACTCCTCCTTCTGCCTGCAGGATCTAACGATTCTGTGGTTGACCTGGCTCTCCTGACCCTGGGAGACCACCACGTCATCACCTACGGCACCTACGGTTTCGTAGGTGCCTTCCTCGGCAGGGGAACCATAGTCTACCCTGAGTCTGAAAACAGCTGGCCTTTCTTCCGCTGCATCAACTCGACCATCTACCAGCCCATCCCGAGAGACTGAGAATGTGTCTGACATCAACCAGCAGCTGACCTCAAGAGATTAAGAATCTATTGTCATTAGTTAGCAAATTCTAAGAGATTAGTAATTTGACACTATTCAGAGATTAATAGGTTACCTGGCAGCAACCAGACGATCATTTGAGATTAATATCCTTCAAGAGGGAAGGAGGGGGGTTCCCTCGATGCTGGAGAAAGATTCTCGAGTCAAGGTATGGGAGCAACCCCTACCTTTCCTCGTATCAAACCTGATTATCACTCATTTCCTATGGCTCTGTAGGACTTTTTGGCGTTTTTCCAATAATAATAATAATAATAACAGCGCTGCAGGGCAGGGGGTGTGGCTGGAGCAGAAAATAGCCAGGGGTGTACAGGACCCATTGGGTCAAACTACGCAATGTGCCTCAAAAGGCACATTGCGTAGTTTGACCCACGTGTAGTGTACTATCGCTTCGATACGTCAGTTAGGCACACTGGCGTCGTCATTAACCTCCATTACTATATCTTGATATTTGTCGACGATCTTCTCATGCATCTGGGTTGACAGGAACTTCGCAAACAAGCTGGTGGCCCCATTTAGTGCTACACCATAAAGCTCCTCGTGGTCAGTCCCATATGTGTTCTTGATGATGGCTGGTAACAACACACTGGGTGTTATGGCCCCTTCAGTAGCTCTATGCCCACTGTAACAAGCCTCTACAGATCCTCTGCCATGGCACACACAGACCAATTACACAGGTGAAGGTGTTGGGAGCTCCAAGTACACGTCCGCCCCTGCCACTGTCATGGCGGCGAATAAAAAAGTTACCATCCACCTGGAACATATTAGTTTGAAAGCCTATCGACTACATATAGCCTATTTAGAATACATTCCACTTAGACACAAAAATCCAGGATATTTAAATTAATAAAATTAATTCTCAGTTTGCTGGTTTATTAGTGTTAAAGCCAGTCAACTGCCAGGTCACTGAGGTTGCACATCACTTGCACACCACCAGTCAAGAGTACTTTAATCCCTGAAATAGGAATTGAGTAAACACTGAGCATGTATGCGCTGTGAGAGCCTTCCTTTGTTGGATGTAGAGGTTATTATTTCAGGAGCACCTGTTACGTCCTGACACAGTCACTTGACAACTAGGAAGATAAATATTTCAGTCTGCCTTCACCTCACTGCTCTGTAAATATCACAACTACTACTGTTGCTATTCCTACTATCACCTTCGCCTCACCTTTTTTTAGGATACTCGTATTTTCTGATGTAATATGTAACATGGCCATATATTGACTTGATAACAGCCGCCTGTATGAACCAAACATTGTCTTTAAAATAAAGGCTTAGAGATGCACACTTGAGTTTGAATACCCTGTGTAGGGTCTGCCAACCCGGTTCCATATATACACTACACACCAATCAAGGTACTGATTGAATATACACAGGTGAGAGCCGGTGACATGAAGTAAACCTTGTATATCAGTCGCTGGCTCTTTCAAACCTTCTTTTATCTGTTAAAATAAAATATAATTCGGAATTATGTACTTTCTTAGTTTGGTATACACTTTTGAGAAAATTATTTACGAGTGAATCACAGGGAGTGGGGTAGCGACTTTAAGCGCTAGTTGGCACCTGCAGTGTTGTGCTGGTGGTGGAGGTGGCTCACTAACAGTGTTGGACTGTGTTGGTGGTGCCAGCAGTGTAAACACAGTTGACACCAGGGAACGGCACCACTCGCTCGTTACTTGGAAATCTCTGTGCCAATTTCGTTAGTTTTGTTTGTTTTTCTCTATATTATGACAGTGTTAGAGTGTACAGGTCACACTAGCTTCCTAGTAACAATTGTCTCTGTGTTCCATGTTACATTTTGGTAACCAGCATTTTAATTATCTTTTAAACGTATTACATACAAGTGTTTTAAGCGTATAATGAGGTTGTTATTTATATTAAAGAACTTTGTGTATGTATGTGTGTTTGCACAGCTGACACATCGCAAATGTTTTATTAGTAAAATACAAACTTTGATCCATTGACATGTGTTAAGGTGCTGACCTGACATACAGATCTGTTATTCATTAGAACGACTGCCTCTCAGTGGATTTAGTGAAAACTTCAGATAATCACCAGTGAATTACGCTAAAATGTAGCTGTGGTAAGTGTGATGTGGCTCGGGGCAACAATCTCAGCCTCGCAGTCACTGGTAAGTGTGATGTGGCTCGGAGCAACAATCTCAGCTTCGCAGTCACTGGTAAGTGTGATGTGGCTCGGAGCAACAATCTCAGCCTCGCAGTCACTGGTAAGTGTGATGTGGCTCGGAGCAACAATCTCAGCCTCGCAGTCACTGGTAAGTGTGATGTGGCTCGGAGCAACAATCTCAGCCTCGCAGTCACTGACCTGAAACGAAAGTGAAATTCAAAGTTTGTTGACGGCGCTCGGTCACTGCCCTCTGTCAGCCTTGCTGTCACTGCCACGCTTTCTAAAACGGCTAACGTTTCGTGCATAGTGAAGTTGGTCTTAAAGTGTGCAGTGGAAGAAACGTGGCAGTTTGGGCAGTCGTCAAGTTTGCAGCACCACAGACGTGCTGCTGGATCCATCTCACACACATCCGGCAACATGATCTGATAAGATCATCTCTACTCATCCCAAACATTTTTGTTGTTTTCAAGGTTCCTGAAAGACAGCAATTACACTAGAGCGAGGCAGCCTGGTGATTACGAAGGAAGTTTGAGGTTTTCAGTGTTGGGACCAGGAGGTCATACAGTCCTCTCTGATATAGTTCTCGCATGCACACCTACCCCGCACGAACCCCCTTCCCCCCACCCACCCACCCAGCACGCACACACGGATAGAGTAGTAATGCTCCATTAAAAATAACTTGTGCCGTTAAATGACTTGGGATATACAAGGACAACTAGATTACAAAGAACGGTTGGTAGTGCACTCGGTTCAGTGTTCTGGTTCGATCCCCAGTACGGGTGGAAACATTAGGAGTGTTTACCCCTGCTGTCCCTGTTCACCTAGCAGTAAGTAGATATCTGGGTGTTAGTTGTCTGATGTGAGTGGCATCCTGGGGTGGTGGTAGTATACCATAGATAGGACTGAGCTTTGAAATGAGCCAAGGTAGGATAACTCCTCTTAAACCTGTAAAACTGGTGTAACAAATAGGGGAGGGGGAATATACATAATGCTTTGGAACTGTATTTTAAGATAAGCTCCGTCAGGAAACAGGACAAGTTTCCTAACGCAGGTCCTAGTCACATGATGAACCGCCACTGGAGCTCTCGGTCATCTGACAGAGGTTTTCCACTGGCTTACACCTCCGTCCCCCTCTATTTAATACCCTAGGATAAATACAAAAAAAAAATTATTTTTCAACACCTAATTAGGTTGTATGCAAGAAAAGAGTTCTTCAGATCATCAGTTCTCGACGCACCAACACTACTTCTAACAAAGTTAATCAATCCCGAGAGCCACGTTGCATTGAACGTTTCCAAGGTACTGGCACAAATTAACACTAGAGTCGCCATCACATCCAGCACTTCCATAAGGAACAAAATCGAACCACCATGAACCAGTCAATGCAGGAGTTTATGCCTTGTGGAGGCTGTGACAGGATATATATATATAGGTGAAACAGGAAGGAACCTCGAAACACGCCTCAATGAACACATTAACGCATGCAGTCAGACACAAAAGCAAGTAGTGGAGCAGCATAATCAACCAATAATCTAATATATGCAAGATACATAATTTTTACAATTTTAACATTAGCACCATACCTGGGGTGAAACCCAGCCACAACTCTAAGTGCTCTTAGTCTTTCTTTGTATTGGCGACAAAGTCTTGTTACAACAGGTCCAAGTAGTGGAACCTCAAAGCCTAGATACCTGTATCTGCTTACATATTCTAGAAGAGACCCATCATGCAATTGGATCTGACGAACTGTGCCTCTCTGTCGAGGAGGTTACCTGGAGGTTACCTTACCTGGAGGTTACCTGGAGGTTATTCCGGGGATCAACGCCCCCGCGGCCCGGTCCATGACCAGGCTTCCCGATGGATCAGGGCCTGATCAACTAGGCTGTTACTGCTGGCCGCACGCAGTCCAACGTACGAGCCACAGCCCGGCTGATCCGGCACTGACTTTAGGTATCTGTCCAGCTCTCTCTTGAAGGCAGCCAGGGGTTTATTGGCAATTCCCCTAATGCTTGATGGGAGGCTGTTGAACAGTTTTGGGCCCCGGACACTTATGGTGTTTTCTCTTAGTGTACCAATGGCGCCCCTACTTTTTATTGGGGGCATTTTGCATCGCCTGCCCAGTCTTTTACTTTCGTAGGGAGTGATTTCTGTGTGCAGATTTGGGACCATTCCTTCCAAGATTTTCCAAGTGTAGATTATGATGTCTCTCCCTCCTGCGTTCCAACGAGTACAAGTCAAGTGCTTCCAAGCGTTCTCAGTAGTTAAGGTGCTTGACAGAACTTATACGTGCATAAAGAATCTCTGTACACTCTCTAGATCTGAGATTTCACCTGCTTTGAATGGGATGTTAATGTACAGCAGTATTCCAGCCTAGAGAGAACAAGTGATTGAAAAGGATCATCATGGGCTTGGCATCTCTCGTTTTGAAAGTTCTCATTATCCATCCTATCATTTTCTTTGCACTGCGATCGTGGCACTGTTGTGATCCTTGAAAGTGAATCCTCAGACATTACTATTCCCAGGTCCCTTACATTATTTTTCCGCTCTATTGTATGGCCGAGTCGGTAGTATACTATGTTCTAGTTATTATCTCCTCCAGTTTTTCCATAACGGAGTAGTTGGAATTTGTCCTCATTGAACATCATATTGTTTACCGTTGCCCCACTGGAAAACTTTGTTTATATCTTCTTGGAGTTAACCGCGTCCTCAGCAGATGACAGCCTCATGCAGATCCTAGTATCATCCGCAAAGGATGATACGGTGCTGTGGTGTATATCTCTGTTTATGTCTGATATGAGGATAAGGAATAAGATGGGGCGAGTACTGTGCCTTGTGGAACAGAGCTCTTCACTATGGCAGCCTCCGATTTAACTGTGTTGACCACTACTCTTTGTGTTCGATTTGTTAGGAAGTTGAAGATCCATCTCCCCACTTTCCCAGTTATTCCTTTAGCACGTATTTTATGGGCTATTACGCCATGATCGCATTTGTCAAATGCTTTTGCAAAGTCTGTGTATATTATATCTGCATTCTGATTTTCTTCCAGTGCATCCAAGGCCATGTCATAGTGATCCAGTAGTTGTGAGAGGCAGGAGCGACCTGCCCTGAACCCATGTTGCCCTGGATTGTGCAGATTTTGGGAATCCAGGTGATTTGCAATCCTATTGAGTATCTTTGTTTTATCAGTAGAGATTATCAACCCCAGGTCCTGACACGAGGCTAGTACATGATTAAGAATGTTTTGAGTGTTGGAGAATCCGGTGGTGTGAATCATTATATCATCAGCAAAACTAATCATATAATGATGGGGCTGACTAGGCATAGCATTAAGTAATTCATTAATTAGAATATTGAACAGTGTGGGACTGAGCACACCTCCCTGTGGGGTTCCTAATTCAAAGTCTTTAGTTACACTTCTATGTCCCTGGAACAACACAGACGATTTTCTGTTGGACAGGTAGCCTATAATCCAGCGGAGAAGCCATCCTCCAACATCCATTCTGGCAAGTTCACTAATGATTACATGTCGGTTGGCTACATCGAAAGCGGATTTAAAGTCAAGGAAGGTAGTGTATGAGCTGTCAGTGTGCAGGGTGAGAAAGGTGGCTATGCAATGATGCATGCTCCTTCCATGCATGAAACCATGTAACCGGGGAGACAAAAATTTTGATTCTGTACATGAGACTATTAAGAATCATTCTCTTAAATGTTTTACACAAGCAGCTAGTAAGAGATATTGGGCGAAAATACCGGAGCTGGAACAAATACAGATATCGTTTACGGCTCACACTGAGCCAGTAAAGCACCTAAACTACTGGGAACGCCTGCAAGTCTTGAACATGTATTAATTGGAGCGGAGGAGAGAGAGGTACATGATAATATATACCTGGAAGGTACTCGAGGGCTTGGTCCCAAATCTGCACACTGCCATAACATACTGGAGTGAGAGATATGGTAGGAAGTGTAAAATAAACCCAGTGAGGAGCAGGGGTGCGGTGGGGACAATAAGAGAACACTGTATCAACATCCGGGGTCCCAGACTTTTCAACATCTTACCAGAAGATATCAGAAACACTGCTGGAACAAGTGTTGAAGCCTTCAAGAGGAAACTGGACAAGTATCTTCACCAGGTGCCAGATCAACCAGGCTGTGATGGATATGTGGGGCAGCGGGCCTCCAGCAGCAACAGCCTGGTTGACCAGGCAAGCACCAGACGAGCCTGGCCCATGGCCGGGCTCAGAGAGTAGATAAAGTCTCGAAACTCTTCAAAGGTATATCAAAGGTATTTACCCAGTAAAAACAAACTGAGGGTTAATTTTTTTCCCTCTCTCCCCCAGACTGACCCGCCTAACATAACCTCCCCTTTCAAACTATATTGAGACGAAACGTTATCTAAATAATGCTGCTTATAGCGGCAATTTAATATTACAGGTGTGGAGGCAGTTGTTTCACGTGCACACATGGCGGTGTACAGCGTGTTGCGGTACTATGTGGGGCCGCCCGTGATGGTGGTGACGACGTGCGTGGGCGTGCAGTACCTGGCTCAGGTGGGCGGTGATGGTACTAACAGCTGGAGCATGCTAGGGGACGCCCACTCCTGGACGGTGGTCCTCTTTACTCTACTGTGGGCGCTGCTCTCACTTTGGGTATGTTCAGCTGGTGTCATCTTTCAGTAAATCTCGCATGTTAAGCATTCTGTCTGGTGTAGCAGAGGAGCTACAAGTAAGCATTATTGTAGGCTTAAGTCCCAACACTTAAACTAAGCCTTTTCTTTAGTTCCCTCTGTAAAATAAGCCTTTTGTTTCCACGTATACAAAATCAGCCTTTCATAATTATCCATGTATTAAACTGATATTTTAAACTGACGGAATATGAGTAAATTGGACGTGTATGCTTAGAGGTATTAATACTAGTCTTCAAATATTTCATGGATTACTCTCAAACCTTTGTCAGCTGTGAATCCAATCTTGGCAGCTTTCTGTTTACCCGGAAATGTTGTACCGATATGCAAGTGTAAATATCGTGTAGATGTAAACTGAATGTTTAAAAAAATAATTATGGTGTCTGTGAAGTGGTATTGTATAATGTAAAAAAATGCTTAATTGTAAGAATGCAAGTTTTTACCTTTTTCTTTACATAATCCATTAGCCAGTTATTTTGGACAGCGCAGAGATTAGCAGATTTTTTTAAGATAGGTGTTCCTTAAGGAGAGCTGGTTAGTACATAGAAGAGAATGAAACGGTACTTTTGTATTTCAGGTCCCTGGCAAGGTATTCAGCGGCCCCCAAACTCACTTCGGCTACACACCCGTCTACAAGGCTAACGGCTTCCAGTTCTTCTTGGTTTCTTTGGCTGCCTTCTTCCTGCTAGTCACCTGCTACCCTTATGTCTCCCGTGACATATTTCATAACTTCCAAAATGTAAAAAAGCGGAATTAGTAACTTTTATTATTACCAGTGGTTATAAACTATGTCAAAACTAATTCCATTTTATTCAACCAGACTTTACTGGTGCTTGTTTCAGATACTTGCATCGTGCAACATCTTGGCTTTCGTGCTGTGCATATACCTGCTCGTGAAAGGGAAGAAATGGCCAGAATCGACGGAGGCGATTGAGTCCAAACCGCTGTTGTACGAGTTCTACCGTGGGATGGAGTTGCATCCAAGACTGCTTGGGGTAGACGTCAAGCAACTTACCAACTGCAGGTTCGGTCTTCTCGCCTGGGAACTGCTGGTGGTCTCTTTCTTCTTGGCTGGCTGGGAGAAGAATGGCTTCAGTATGGGGCACCTGGTGTGTGCCACGCTCCAGACCATATACCTGGGCAAGTTTTTCTGGTGGGAGACGGGTTACTTCAATACATTAGACATTATCCTGGACCGTGCGGGTTACTACATCTGCTGGGGGTGTCTTGTGTTTGTACCCTCCCTATACACGTACTCTTCCTACTATCTCGTGGCTCACCCTCCTCAGGTATCTGCGAGCACTGCCACGCTCTTCTTCATACTAGGCGTGTGCGCGATACTGTTGAACTATCGCATTGACTGGGAGAAAGAACACTTCCGCGCTCATGATGGCAAGTGTTCCCTCTGGGGACGACCAGTTACTTACATAGAAGCGCAGTACAAGAGTGCTACTGGCCATAAGTACTCTAAATTGCTTACCTCCGGGTCTTGGGGCGTGGCCAGACATCTGAACTACACTCTAGAGTTGTTACTCTCCTTAGCCTGGTGCCTGCCAGGGCTCGGGTATGGTGTGTGGCCTTTTTTGTACGTGATCTTCCTTACTGTGCTCCTTGTTCACAGAGTCTTCAGAGACGAAGAAAAGTGTCGAGCCAAGTACGGCTCAGCTTGGGACAAGTACTGCAAGGAAGTTCCCTATCGTATGATTCCCAGAGTCTTTTGAGTTTGCTGTGATATATCCACCATTATTTTTTCAATAAATACTGACTACTGTATTATATATATTTAATGTAAATGTACAAATACATATAAATTAAGGTTCGTTTTTAATTAATCCTATTAGGTGAACAAAAAAATATATTTATATATATAGCAAGTAATGAAAACTAAACCGTATTTATCAGTCACTGTATCCCACAGAAGATATTTAATTACGTATGAAAATTAGTTACACACGAATAATTAGTTCACTTATTCTAACTAATTTTTGATCTACTAATATTTTTAGAAGCTGTTTAGAATGTGGATATAAAGGAGTGTCAGAGGAACCTTCCCTTGTAGGTTGGCCGGTGGTGTCCCGGCCCAGGTCTTCTCTTTTCACTCCGTCTCTTGTATACTCCTAAACCTCGCTAGTGTGATCCCCCCCCCCCTCAAGGGAGGTTCCTTGGCGCTGCTGAGGGGCTCTAGGGGAACTGGATCTGTGTTTGTTCCCCAAATTAAGCCTGAATACCTTCCACATCTCCCCACAGATGCTGTATAATCCTACGGGTTTAGCGCTTCCCCCTTGATTATAATAATGGTCTGATTTTTCGCATATTTCATGTTCAGCGCATCCTGTCCCGCAGCGCTGTAACCCCCTTGTGGGTGTAACACTTAGTTTTGATTGTAGTACGTATAATAATAGCCTCTGTAAAGTTGCATCCGAGTATAACCTCGTGGCTACAGTGGTGGTAGCCTCATGGCTACAGTGGTGGTAGCCTCATGGCTACAGTGGTGGTAGCCTCATTGCTACAGTGGTGATAGCCTCATTGCTACAGTGGTGATAGCCTCATTGCTACAGTGGTGGTAGCCTCATGGCTACAGTGGTGGTAGCCTCATGGCTACAGTGGTGATAGCCTCATGGCTACAGTGGTGGTAGCCTCATGGCTACAGTGGTGATAGCCTCATGGCTACAGTGGTGGTAGCCTCGTGGCTACAGTGGTGGTAGCCTCGTGGCTACAGTGGTGGTAGCCTCGTGGCTACAGTGGTGGTAGCCTCATGGCTACAGTGGTGGTAGCCTCATGGCTACAGTGGTGGTAGCCTCATGGCTACAGTGGTGGTAGCCTCATGGCTACAGTGGTGGTAGCCTCGTGGCTACACTGGTGGTAGCCTCGTGGCTACACTGGTGGTAGCCTCGTGGCTACACTGGTGGTAGCCTCGTGGCTACACTGGTGGTAGCCTCGTGGCTACACTGGTGGAGCCTCGTGGCTACACGGGGTTTAGCCTCTTTTTTTAAACACTGGGGTAGCCTCGTGGCTACACGGGTGGTAGCCCTCGTGGCTACACGGGTGGTAGCCTCGTGGCTACACTGGTGGTAGCCTCGTGGCTACACTGGTGGTAGCCTCGTGGCTACACTGGAGGATGAAGATTATACACAAGGTGCAAATATTTTAAACACGTAACAAAAACAAAAGAGGTTAGATTTAAGACCTTCGTAGTTACACATTAGCTCTGACTACAGCTTAATAATCATTTAGTTACACTATTCACTTGGAAACAGTGGTCTCCTGTTTACATATTTTCTAGATAATTTACATGGGTTCAGAGTAGCAAGTAGTCGGTACCTGACGCCCTTCACCTGACACTAGGCTATCTTTCGTATTTATCTTTTATATTCAATTTTGTTTTCTTAGTTGTTAAAAAAAAACTTATATACTGTATATCTGTGTAATATATTGCAAATCCTGATATGCAAACCACCACGTAAGGAATAAAATAGTTTCAGGCACTTTTTTTTTTTGTTACAATGAATTTTACAGACTAAGATTTATCTCGGCTCATACCACCTCCTGGGATACCACCCATACTTGTCGATTAACTCCGTGGTTCGATCTCCGTGCCGGAGATCGAACCACGGACACTGCTGTATGAGGAGAATGCAATACCAACCGAGCCACTGGATACCTTTCAACAGTGCATGACAAGTGCCTTCGTTAGATATTTAAGGATATACGTCCCAGTGCAAACAGCCTGGTCTCAGACCGGGCTGTTTGCACCCTCTCCAGGTATCTCCAGGTATACATGTTTGAACAAACGCGAAAACACTGACTCACACAGTGCGAATGAACAGATGAACTTCTAATATTATTTTTAAATTAAGCATCAGTACTAAAACCTAACAAGCTTGTACTGATATAATGATCGTTGTGTAGAGCTTTACAACGTTACAACTTTCTAACACTACGCACAGTTAAATGTCCCAAAAGTGTTTGTTTAGCAACTTGTTTCTGTTCATATTATGCTGGGCAGAACTGTGACACCCTTGTGGGTTTAGCGCGTAACTTCATCCAGTAGACTCCTGCCTTGATGAACTTTCGGGCTACAAATCATCAGTGTCCTTAGTACGTGCTGCAGCCGGTGAACACTACACGCCACAAAGAACAGTGTCTAAGGTAAATGGTCGTCTTAATTAAGCGAATATGTTCGTGTTCGCTTCCCTCAATTTGTCTGGCAGCCATCTTCCTCCTTACTATATAGTGACTGAGACGACTCTCGACATTAAAGATGCTACCATGTCTATGGAGAAGCGCTAAGCCCGTAAGGGCTCAGATCAAAAGAATTTCACCCTCCCCATCCTTCTTACATGGTATATATTACAGATATCACACACGTACACATACCCCATCCTATGGGAAAGACTAAACCTTCCATGGAGGTGCCTTGACGCCGGTGAAGGGTTATTGATCTAGCGAAAAGTTACTTCTTATTTTGGATCGAATGATTCGAATCTGACTGCATCCGCTACCCCAAAGGTGGGGTATTAAATCCACTACGGGTTTAGCTTTCACTCGCATGAAATATGTTTGGTTTTTATTATATGCATTAATCTAACGTGTGCCTGATGCGAAGACGGGAAAGCGTAGTCTCCCAACTGCTACATCGATGATAAGACCAGAATCCTAAACATGGCTTGAGAGTGTTAAATTTGGGGGAGTCCTTTGATAAGGTGTTGAGACGTTAGTCTGAGGATTTTTTCTTCCTCACCGTCCGATCCTAAAATCCCCCACTCCTTCCTTCCATTCCATCCGTCCGCCCCTCATTTCCCAGCCATGTCATTTCCCCAATCCTTTCCTTCCTATCTTTCCTGGTTTTGTTTGGCCTTTTAGAGTCTTTCTCTGAAATTCTAGTCTATGATTCCCATAATCTGAACAATCCTGTTGGTAACATGGTGTTAAGGGCAGGTCGCTCCTGCCTATCACTAACTACGGGAATCACGATGACATGGCCTTGGATTCACTGGAAAGAAAAACAGAATGCAGATGTAAATATACTCTGACTTTGCACAAGCATTTGGACAAATGCGATCATGGCGTAATAGCCATAAAATACGTGACGCTAAAGGGAATAACTGGGGGAAAGTGGGGAGATGGGATCGTAATATTCCTAACAAATCGAACACAAAGAGTTAGTGGTCATCACAGTTAAATCGGAGAGACATGCATAGTGAAGGCTCTGTTCCACAAGGCACAGTAATCGCCCCCATTTATTCCCTTATCCATCATATCATAAATAAACAGAGATATAAACCACTGCACCGTTTCATCCTTTGCGGATGATACTAGGATCTGCTGGGTGTCATCGGACTTGAGGACGCGGTTAAACTCCATAGAAGATAAAAAACAAAGTTTTCCAGTGGGCAACGGTCAACAATATGAGGCTCAATGAGGACAAATTCCAACTATACTCCGTTATGGAAAACGGAGGAGATAATAACTAGAACAGAGTATACTACTGATTTCCGGCCATACAATAGAGCGGAAAAATAATGTAAGGGACCTGGAGTAGTAATGTCTGAGGATTCTCACTTCAAGGATCACACAGTGCCACATCGCACGTGCAAAGAAAATGATAGGAGGGATAATGAGAACTTTCAAAACGAGAGATGCCAAGCCCATGATGATCCTTTTAAAATCACTTGTTCTCTCTAGGCTAGAATACTGCTGTACATTAACATCTCCATTCAAAGCAGGTGAAATCGCAGATCTAGAGAGTGTACAGAGATCCTTTACTGCACGTATAAGTTCTGTCAAGCACCTTAACTACTGGGAACGCTTGGAAGCACTTGACTTGTACTCGTTGGAACGCAGGAGGGAGAGATATATCATAATAAGAGTAGATGTGGGTGGGTGTGAGTTAGACCTGATAGCTTGTGCTACCAGGTCGGTTGCCGTGTTCCTCCCTTAAGTCAATGTGACCTGACCTGACTAGGTTGGGTGCATTGGCTTAAGCCAGTAGGAGACTTGGACCTACCTCGCATGGGCCAGTAGGCCTTCTGCAGTGTTCCTTCGTTCTTATGTTCTTATGTTCTTATAATCTACACTTGGAAAATCTTGGAAGGAATGGTCCCAAATCTGCACACAGAAATCACTCCCTACGAAAGTAAAAGACTGTGCAGGCGATGCAAAATGCCCCCAATAAAAAGTAGGGGCGCCATTGGTACACTAAGGGAAAACACCATAAGTGTCCGGGGCCCAAAACTGTTTAACAGCCTCCCATCAAGCATTAGGGGAATTGCCAATAAACCCCTGGCTGCCTTCAAGAGAGAGCTGGACAGATACCTAAAGTCAGTGCCGGATCAGCCGGGCTGTGGCTCGTACGTTGGACTGCGTGCGGCCAGCAGTAACAGCCTAGTTGATCAGGCCCTGATCCATCGGGAAGCCTGGTCATGGACCGGGCCGCGGGGGCGTTGATCCCCGGAATAACCTCCAGGAATAACCTCCAGGTTGGGGAAAGGGTGTTGTTGTCCGTCCCATTCCTTTGAGGTCCTTGGTAGTGGTGGTGGTTTGATGTGGAATATAGATCATCTAGAGATGTCCCAATCCTCCCTCCGGATTTCCGGGGGGTGGTTTAGGGTGTCTTTCGGGTGACAAGTGTATCCCTGGAGGCTGCCTGTCAGTTCCGGTAGGTGATGGCCGAAGGAGGTATGCCTTGTGATGGGTTTCCGGCAGCCCTCTTTTGTCTGCTGAGGTGGTTCAGTGGATATGAGGTTGCTATCCTGGATTGCTGGTTTACGGGCATGAATGGTAGGGTATGACATGGGTTTCACGACGCATCTGCAC